TAGTACTTGAATAATTTATAAATAAACAAACTATTGCATATATACCACAACTATAGTACACACATTTTACAAATGGTTTGTTACCTGAGTAAAATGATGTATAGTTTTAGGGAGATCAATTGAATCCAATTCGCATCTTTCCTATGCTTCTTGTGTTTTAAAGAACATGGGTATGTTGATTTCTTACAAACATTTTTGGATGTAGTGTAAATAAAATGAGGAGAGTCTATGGTAGTTGGGATATGTAGTTGGTAATTCAATGAAGTAATTTAATGGCAATTAAGATGCATTTGTTGGGTTAGTCGGGTCAAAAAATTAGGATCATGACTAACCAAATTTTGATTAAACAGGTTGGACACACATCGGGTTAACACATTTGATTTCCAAATTAATTTTGACTTCTACCTGTAAATCAACTCCATAAAAACGGAACCCGCCCACCCACTCCCGTTGCACATTTCACATTTTTTTCACTCCCCTTTCTTTATTTCTCTGTATCTATTTACTCTTTCTCTATCCAGCCCCGACAACATCATCAGCGCCACTGCACCACAACATTTGTCTTCTCTCAGGTACCCCTTTTCTCTTCCTCTCTCTTTGTCTCTCTCTATCTCTCTCTCTCTCTCTCTCAGACACACACACAGAGATAATATCCTTAGCCCCCAGCTCTCCCCTTATACGAACCCCCTCACCTAACCTCTCATCTTTTTGAGCAACCCCCCTCTATGCAACCTAGCCTCCACTCTTGTCACTCTTGATCTGCGCAACCTAGCCCCTACACACACACACACACACACACACACACACAACGAAACATGCAAACACAAATGGAACACACATGCAATAGAAAACACACACAGTCATACTTCGCAAAAAAAACACTTCGCATACCCCCTACCCCAAGCACACACACACATTGCTCAACACCCAAAATTTTAGAAATAGGGCTGTTAATTTGACAAAATTGATTTTATTAATAGATTTTTTTTGGAGAAAATTAATGCTATTAATTTGATGGGTTGATGCCATTAATTTGAATTGATATCTGTTAATTGTTGTTAAAGTTAATAGATTTTTAATTTGATGGGTGTGGGTTTGAATTAGTTGAGGAGTTTGAGTTTGGGTGCAATGATACTTTCATTTGGATTGTTATTCAATTGCGAATTTGAGTTGATGTGTTTGTATTATTGATTCAATGGGTGGATTTGTCAATTTATTTGATTTTTCACTAATTGCTCATCTCTTTAATTTTAATTTTTTTGTCTATATTTTTCACTTTCATTTTCCATCTATACCCTTTATTTTTCAGTTTTTAGGTGGTTGAGCTGAGTGTATGAGTTGGTTTGGTGAAATTTAAGTTTAGTGTAGAATCTAAATAATGTTTCTTATTTCCTAGTCTCTTCAATTACAACTGGTTTGACAAAAATAGTATTTGTATCAAGTGAAATAAGTATTGCTTCAAACCATTTTGTATAGCTTCAGTAATTGAAGTTTAGTGTACAATCTAAATTTGAGAACCCATTTACTTGCTGATATGGTTCTTCACGCTTTTATTGGTTTTTGATATGAGCAAAACTTTTTTTATAGTTGTATCATTATATTGGGGAATGGCTTTATTGCAAGTTTTGAATTTGTTTTCCATAATTTTGTGGGAGAATCTTATAATATGACCATGACACAATTAGAACATGAGATTTTTGCTATATATGCATTGGGTTGAACTCCATCATTTGCTTGATTAACGAAGCTTGCACGCCCTCATCAAAGTATTGATCCTTTTTTATTTTTGTTCCCTTTGAATATTTGCAAGATTTTATTGTGTCTAATGAACAATGATTTATCTGCTCTAATGATTTTCTAATTCTATGTTTTAAGGATATCTATTGTGTATAATTTTTTTCAGTTGTTTGGTTAATGGATATGTTTTAATTATGCTAATGTGTGTACAATGAATAGAAATGTGGAACCTCAGCCCACTATATATTTGATTTCTTCATTTATTGAAAAGACTAATATTTTATACCAAGGTTTGCTTTATTTTAATGGTGTGGTATGGCACAGATGGTATTACACATAATATATGGCTCACATGTATTCTAGGTAATTATGGGAAGACAATATATTTGCCTTGAAAATTTGCCATTTGTTCATTTGGTATACATATGTAACTAATGGTATTGAATATAGTTTGAGATCACATGAAATATATGCTTTATTATATATTCTCTTATATTTAAGAGTGAAATTGTTGTCAATTAATTCTCAATTGATTGATTAACTAATTGGTGACGCAATAGGATGTGATTAGGGGATAACATTTCAAAGATAAATAGATTTCGGCCTACAAGGTATATGGATAATTCTAATGCTTACATTGTGGTGTATTTTATTAGCCTTTTTTATGTTGTACTAATTGGAAGGAGACTATTCCATTATAACGTAAAAAATTATTTGGGTGGAAAATTGATCATTTAACCTAAATAGACTAAGAAGCAATTTTACTCAATTGTTATTTGCATAGAGCATTTAAACTTTGAGGAAATTGATATATGATTTTGTGCTGCACAATATCTTCATGTATGACTGTTGTTCATGTTTTTTTTAAAAAGTGATTGTTGCAGTTTGATATAGTGCCTCGCTTTTTTAGGGTGCTCGATTTTTTTGTTGCACCGTGCCGTTCAACATGGGTTATTACTAGTTTTATGAAATGCGAAAAAAAAATAGTTCTCTTACAAACCATGTCTGTTTTTTGTAGGTATATATATGATATATGCACATTATTACCATGAAGAGGAAGATAAATATTGCAGTTGGGAAAAGTATGACTGACAAGATGGTATCCACTGCATCTTCACATGGTGGCAATACAGGTGTTAATGCGAAGAGGAAACGAAGGGTATATACTTTGAACACATATATTACATGGACAAACACTGCATTATTACATAACTTAAATTTTTTGATATCTTTGTTTGATGCATTACATCTATATTCAGCAACTAATGGGTACACATTGTTTGCCATCAACTATCATAAAAGTTGTAAGGGGTTAACTGATGATTAGAAATGTGCAGTGAAGGCCATGAGTTTAGAAGGGTTGACCTGCATGAAATGCACTATGGTGAGGAGGAGCTTATGCGAGTGGTTGGTGAAAAAATTTGATCCCGCTACGGCTCAATTACATCTACATGGTAAATCAATTAAGTTCTCATATGAGGATGTTTATTACATAATGGGGTTGTCAAACATAGGCCTTGAGTTGGAGACTGCAGGTTCTTCGGACCGACCAGAGGAACTTAAAAAATCAATTTTTAATGGACAGAGGGAGCTCTCATTGACTACTTTGGCTAGGAATCTAAAAGAATTAAAGTACGATTCATTTACTTTTAGGCGCCTATTTGCACTATTCATAATAGGCCGGCTTCTTTCCCCAACCATGAAAATGATAATTAATAGTTCGTACGCCAAGCCGTTTGTGGATGTAAATGCATTGTCTTCTATAAACTGGAGTAAATTTGTTTATGATGGTATTATTGAAGGCATACGAAATTTCAAGGAAAAATCAAGGTGTAATATTTGTGGCTGTATCATTGTGCTACAAGTAATGCGTTATTTACTTATTTGATAATTCATTGACTAATTTGGAGTAATCTGAATACTGCTTTCTTAGTCATACCAACTCTATTAATTACTTGAACGTGATCCATTTGCAGATTTTCTATTTTGAGCGTGTGACACCAACTGGGGACTCATACATTCCATTTCTGCCATGGCCATTCCCTTGGATCGCAGTTTGGGGGATAAAGAAATAGGGCAGCGCATGACCTCACTAAAAAAATTGGGTGGATACAAAAAAAAGGAGTAACTTATGATGGATATTATACTTTCTAATTTAGTTTTATTGTTAATTATTTCATAAGGGAAGATATTGTTTGCTTGATGTGGTATTAACTAATATTTGGATTATCATAGATAAGGGTAACAGTTGAAGAGTCACTAAATATTTCTGACTCAGATATGGGACACAATGAGAGGACAACAGTTGAATATTCAGTAAATATTTCTGTCCCAGATCTGAGACATAATGTGAGGACAACAGGCATTTCGTACGCTTAGAACATGCAGGTTAACTTATGTAGGATATATATGGAGGTAGAACAATACAAATCATTATTAATATTATTTTCCGTGAGTGACACTTCAATATGTTATGTAGGATTTTGACAAGATATTGTCTACGGTTGAAGTCGCATTGTCTGGATTTTGATTGGACCATGAAGCTTTGTTTGCTAGGTTCACATTGAAGTAAATGAAATTAAAAAGATGCTGGAAACTCTTTCTGAAAAGGTGTGTACAAATGGGAGAGAACCACCTACGAAAGACTATATCCACATGAGTACACTATATTACTATGTTATCCTTTACCATAGTACATGTGTGTGCTGCTTTGTATATTAAAATGTGAACCAAGAATTATTGGATGACAATGAAATCGAGGTCCCGACTGACAGGACCAATGAGGTTATTTTATACACAACTTGCAACCAATTAAATTTTAAGTGCACATGGACCTAAAATGATAGAAACTCCACTTTTAGGTTGTTGATGGGTTGGTTCCCCATATTATTGATGTTAGTGATGAAATAGGAAATACAATATGAAACCACATTTTTCATGATGGACTTGATGTAGAGCATCTCACAATTAATACCATTACATGGTGTTTATTATTTGCAGTTCTTATGCAAATCATACCTTACATGTCGACGTTTACAATGAGACGATTGTTCAGATTGAAAATTTTTATGCGACAAGAATGACAATGAAGTCATTGGGACCCAGACTTTGGTTGCCGAATGAGGTCAGTTATATTGTTTTCCCATATTTGTATACCCAATTTTGAATTAACTCGCCATTGAGTAAATGTATGCAATTAAAAATATGTATAATTTTGTACATAGTTAATCAATCTCACTGCATGCATTATGCCACCCATAGATATGAGAAACAACGACATAGAGAAGGCCAGGTGGTATATTCCGACTTGGTTTGCGGTAATATTTCACAATCAAATTTTGGTTTTATGTGCTTTTCTTGATTTACGGCCTCATATTGTGTTTTAATGTACTATATGAACTTACGTGTTTCTAATTTCACTAATCCTTAAATTGTAGCAAACAGTCATTGACTATACATCTTAGGGGAAAACTAGTGTTCAACTGCAATGAAAACTCATGCGATTATGTGGCCGATACATCATGGACATCAACATGTGTGACAAGGTATGACTGGATAAAAAATGACAATCGAGTTGCTTACAAAAGCAACCTTCACAATTAATTATGTACATCACCATAGTGTATTGACTACAACTACCTTATGTAGATATATGTCCCCATTAACGACGACAAAAAACATTGGTACTTATGCGTTGTGGCCATACAACAGAAAAAAGTCCTCCTACTGGATACTCTTCCAAGTCGAACAATGAAATGTATATGACGTAAGAAAGTGGATGATGTGGTATGTGTGATCTAATTTAGAATGCAAAATATGATCCATGCAACGCATTCGAGGGTGGATTTGCCAAGTGTAACTTATTTCATTGTATTAATAAGTAGGTTGCGTCATTGGGTGAACTTATTTTCCAGATAAACAAACATTTTGAAAGAGTACTCAATACATGGCCCGTGATTGAACCAACTTGGACACCCAAACAGGTGAATGGATACGATTGTGGAATTGACGTTGTCGATATGATCCATCAACCTCGTCTAGGCCAAACTATAATGAAGGTATACTGTAAATATGTACAATTTTTCTTCGATCATCAATGTTTTGCAAATGTTATAACACTTAAAATTGTATGTAGGCATCGTCATCAAACGTTAGAAAGGATCTTGCAATAAAGTTGGTTATCCATCCAGATAATACAAAGCAAGATGAAATCATTGGCAAGTCATTGAAGCTCCAGAACATAAACTTTTCATAACTGGATGCATCCTTAAATTTTTGAGACAGTGTGTAGACCGACTCCACGTATAGTCGTGCAAAGAACTCAATCTGATAATGGTTGAATGAAGGAAGACATAACACATCTTTTGTGATTATTATGAACAATTAACTTAAGGTAGTGAGGTTGTAGTTATCCTCTTATGTACCATAGTGAGGAACTGTTGACTTTATCCATAATATATTGGGACTTTTGTATATCCAAATTTATGTACATGTCTCGTACTCCTGCTCGGATTATAGTTTGGTGCCTCATTCATACCTGTGGTAAATAAAGGTAGAATGAAAAAAGAAATAGAAAAATATGATATACGTACACACCGTCAATGTAAGTCCTTTTTTTTTTTGCAGGGAATTCTATGATACTGAGTATATGAAATATTGGTACCATACCGTTCATGGTAGTGGGCCATGACAAAAAAAATAAAGGTGACCTTGCAAAAATATCACATTTTTTGAGTAAAATTTAATGACCAAAAATTAATAACCACACATTTTGTCATCTGTACATTTGAAGCAGACCATGTCCATGTTAAGGAGATGTTTGTTAAATCTCCAACATAAAAAAAGAGATTTTGGACAAATCAACAACATAAAAGGGAGACAAAAGGAGATTTTGGGCAAATCACCAACATAAGCATTCCACAAAATTGGAGGGAAATGTTCCCACCAATAGCAATGAGGTTCTTACTTTTTATACAAGTGAAGACAGAGGGTGAGAGTAACACTCCTCTAAAAGGGTGAAAAAAATAGTAACACTCCTTTGGTATAAGCTTATAGCATTATGGAATTTCAAGAATGCGACTGTAGGAGAATTGAAAGATTGAGGACTTCATGGACAAATTCAAACCCAGGTAGGAGGTTTATAGCCTGTAAAAGATATGGGGTAAGATACCAAATTCTTCATTCATTCATTATTTTTTTTCATAAGACATCATAATGTAAACAAACATAACGACATGTAGGAGGCAGGTGAGTGCAATTATTTCTAATGGTTTAATCCTCCAATGTGCGACCGATCGAAACATGTAATTCCCAGACTATTGCAATCATTGCAAAGGCATCAGACCCAAGAAGAAAGAGCAAAAAAGCAGGCCAAAAATTTAAAGGTTGCACTTTTTGTATCATGGATATTTTTCATTGCTACCTGGATTTCGAATGTTGCATAGTAGTGGGTGAAGATGGTGTAACAAAAAGTTAAAGGTTTTGAGTTGTCTAGCTGAAAATTCATATGACTGCGTTAGGTTTTTATGTGCGTTGGAGTACATGGAAATGGTAGATGCAATTCAAACAATATATATATATATATATGAACGTAAGATTTATATCAAGCACCTTGTCACAATCTTCAAATTTTTTTATGAAATTAGACAGCTTAACCAATGAATCATTTGTGCACGGTACACCAGCATTGGATGATACTCTTGCAAGTGCCTATTGCTGAATTTATTCACAAATATGGTGCAAACTAAGAAATTTAAGTTTGTTGCATTTCAAACCATGATAAAGCCATTGACAAGGATTGGATGCATTACCGAAAAGTATGTGGGTAGAAAGCATCTAATCTTCATATTAAACGAATTCGTCTTCCTCCCTTCCAACATAATGTATGCACCAAGTTTATTATCTTTAAAACCAATATACGAAAAATGCATCAATTTGGAGGTCTTTATCATATTTATTAATCTAAAAAACATTAATATTCTATGTAACTCACCTTAGCAGCAATCCATTGCAAAGGGCCTAAACTCATCATTAACTTTCTGGTTGCGAACTTGTGATTGAATTTGACCAATACCTCACTGTGTGGTAACCCAATTCTATTACTGTATTTTGTATGACACACAATTTTTCAGATCCATGGGTATTAGACTATTATACCTCATATCTAGAGAAGCATAAAAAATGTATGACAATATTAATGCATTATCAACGGTTGTGATTTCGTCTATTTCTGGATACTCCATGATTACTGGTGGAAGATAGGCACTCAAACCTGAAATCTGGTTAACGGATGAAAAGTTTAAGGTGCAAAAGATTCCATGGGTATTTCTCATACGACAACACTAAATACAAACCTTGAGAATCTCTTCAATGGATGTGCTTTCCTTTAGTTTAAACCTTATTCTTTTATCCATTGCACTATCTGTGTTTAGTACAGGTTCAATGTCATTCTGCTTTCCATCCAGTAATTGCAAAATATAATGTCAATGTTAGGTACATGTGAGTTAAATACATTGATAGTGGTGTATGCAAAAAAATATGTGCCTTTGACATGACCCATTACCTTAAGAAACTCGTCCGTTGAAGTGTTGTGATCCCCAAAAATGCTCTTTCAATTTAAATCAACATTCACATCTTTGTGCACAACCTTCTTCTACGATCGACGATTCTGTTATAATAACTATGTCAATAATGTAAATGACATGTTTTCAAATTTTAATGAGTGTGAATAAATGACCGCATGCTTCGGCTACTTCATATGGTGACTTCAACCAGTTACTTATGGCATCAATGGATGCTGTCAAGTTTCCTTCTTTCTTCGGATTCTTATTCAATCGACGATTCTATACATGAAATAAGCAAAGTCGTTACAAACTGACATGTTTCATACAACATCAAACTTGGTTTTTAAAAAATATAACGTGTATCATACCTTCAGCAATACATATGGTGACTTCAATCATTTACTTGGTTTCCTTTTAGAACATCTACTCAATATCTTTGTCATTCCTGATTTCTGTGTACAGGAGTATGATGCCTATTGAGGATAATCAATATCTGTGGGTTGAAACAATGTAAGTGCATTTGAACCAAGTTTGTTAAAATCATTTGCCTGTATACTTTCAGGTGGCTTCATAGCCAAAAACGGTGTTGAAATCTGATTATGATTTTTAGATCTATGCATAACCCACTTGTTCACTCCATTACTCCTACCACTACCATCCTTCAGCTCGGTCTCATTAGCGTCAACTTGTGCTATGATGTAAGAATTGGAACTATCCCCAGATGAGGTTTCCATCATTTTTTTTAGAGTGAAAATCAATAAACTGAATTCTATAGACATTTCATTTAAGTTTGACTGCATTTTGCACACAACGGCCTCGACATTACAAAGTTTTTGTCCAATGGCCTAAAATTATCATTTACATATCATTTCACACATCAATAATAAACTTTGTAATGTCGTAAACTATCAACAACACATACTGTAAATCTTTCATCGCTATTGATTTGAGGTAACTCAATTCTTGGTAGTGCTTTCACAGGTGAGTGTGAAAAACCATGAGTGGTATCTGATAATGGAACCTATAATGAATAATCCATACCATTAAATAGTATGTACGAAAAGATCATTGCATAACTGAAAAAATATGATACCTGCATATATTGTAGCTAGCTTGACTTCTTTAAAAGGATCATATGCTCATTAATTTCTTGATCACCCCATGTGGCAATTCGGGGAAGGGTTCAACCCATGTATGGAACATCCACAACTCCACATGGTGTCACCCGCTTAAGGAAAAATGCCTTCACAAAAATATAAGATCTTGCGAACTTTTGGTTGATGACCAATTATGCTATTAATAATAGAATGCAAATGTGTAGTAAACAATTAATTACCATTAGGACAAGTATGCACTCACTGATATTGTGCTGATTATTCAGCTTGTATTTCTGCACTCCTTTAATAACATCATCATACACAAGTTTCAACCAATTCTTCTTGCCTAAACCTCCAACATCTATTATCGAGTGGATGGAAGATGTGCTAGTCGTGGTCTTCATTGTGGGGAGCAATAAATAACCAAGTACAAATAAAGTAAATATACGCTTGAACTCAACAAAATCACCTTTCCTTTCAAATAATCTACCTTCCAAAACTTTCAAAGGAATAACCTTGAGTTCCTTGAACAACGATTCACATACCTCAATTATTCTATCAGGGGGCTCACTCCTCTCCACATTTGCCCCTTCATTTCTCAATCTCATTATCAACTCAACATCTACAGGAGAGAACTTCAACGATTTTCCATACACATTGAGTGCACAGCCTTCCGGATCAAAGCACTCCACTAACCATGCACACAAATCTGTCTTTATTTGTTTACATTTAAGGTTTAACACTCCCTCCAAACCAATTTCTTCAACGCCAAGTCTTTGTTCTTCACTTAACTTTTCTATTATCTTGATGACCATGCTTGGTGAACCTCTTGTGCCCAGCTTGACCTTCATAATATCAGGAAAATACATATACATTTTTTGTACTGTTTTCTATGTATAAGTGCACATATATATGCCTTTCCAAACAAAATTCAAATTACCCCATTGGAGTTCTTCATGTTTCCTTTCAAACGCTCATATTCCAACTTTGATGACTTTGCCAAATCTATGTATTTTCCTTTCTCAACATCAATCATCTTACACAATTGCACAACACAATCTTTCATTGCCTGAAATTAGGACATTACACTTAATAAACATGACTACGAAGTCCTTTACAAATACTAACACGTTAAATATACATACCTCATTTTTTGTTTTCGCTTCTTTGCCATACCTTCTATTCTCTTTAAATTTTCTTTTCTACATATGGACAAATGTTAAAGATTTAACCTACATCTTTAACATTCTGGAATGATATGTTAAAGTTTGAACTTAGATCTTTAACATTCAAATATCGATTGTACTACATCCAAGGCGATCACTAGGGCAAATATTCAGTGACTCACCAGTAATAAATCCAGGCAGTTGATGGCCGAGGTATTTTATTTGCATCCTTTTTACATTCGATGTACATCTTCTTTACCCTGAGTATAATCTCTCTTCTATTACAACTTAAATATGTACCAATGTTACACAACATAAAAAATGGATATCGGTGCTTACATGGATCTTGATTCAATCGAATGCACATACATGATTATAATGTATCAAACTACCGTCAAACGTGACTAACAAGAACAATGGAGTGCTCCG